CCCTCCCCTTCCTCTCACCTCCCTCCCTTATATTTTCTCTAAATATCAATGGAATGCTCTGGTTTCTCTTCAGATCGTATAAATCTTTTGCCTTTTACTAAATATCAATGGAGCCCTAGCTGGTTTGGCTCAGTGGATAGAGTGTCGGCCTGCAGTCTGAAGGGTCTTGGGTTCGATTCCAGCCTAGGGCACATGTCCAGGTTGTGGGCTTGATCCGCAGTAGGGGGTGTGCAGGAGGCAGCCAATCAATGATTCCCTCTCATCATTGGTGTTTCTATCTCTCTCTCTCCCTCTCCCTTCCTCTCTAAAATAAATATAATATATTTTAAAAAATCAATGGAAAAAAATGTCCTCAGATGAGGATTAAAAAAACAACAACAACACACACACACAAAAATTAAGGGTTTTTATAGTTGAGTGTTAATTTTAGGTGAGATTTTGTGTTATTTATTTTTACCAAAATATTTTTTTTAAATTAAGGAGGTACCATGTAACGTTAACGTAAAATTAATGAGAAAAATTGGTAACATCTCAGAGTTAATTTTAAAAAGACATTTCTAAAATATTTAACCCTAACTTACTCTATTTTTTAAAATGCAAACAAAAAGGGAGAGCATGCATGTCTGTGTCCACAAGATTGGACTGTAAGCAACTTTCCAATCTATCCTGAAGTAAATTTCAGTAGTCGAAAAAATCCTGCTGTGGCTCCAGACATAACGGTGGGAAGAATTTCTAAGAAGTTTACCATATGATGGGAATCGTCTGGCAGTGGGAAGGCCCTTGGTATTTGTCCTTATTCTGGGTAGAGGCCTAGCTTAACATTGCTCAGCCTGAGAGAAGTGGAATGGACCAGACATGGACTACAGTGACCATTGTACATTATTCTGCATGACTGAGGGGCCAAGTTACTCACAATAGCCTGGCTGGCAATGCATTTTGATTAATGACTCAGTCACTTTGATCAGTGTTTGCTTCCAAAGTAACTGGCAAGTCCACTGGGATTCATAGAGTTGAAGAAGTTGGTGCTATTTCTAAGCCTTTCTTCCTTTGTTAACCAACTCTGTACATGGTTCCATATCCACAACATATTGCTTGATGATATTAACCACTACTATCACTAGGCAAAAGAAGAGTCTTTATTTTCATAAAACTCTAAGGTTTTAATCTTTATGTGTTATTCCTAATCCTTATCTCATCTGTTAAATGTCTGCTATCCTATATAATAAAAGTCTAATAAACTAAGTGTCCAGTTGACCGGTCGGCTGTTCAACCAATTAAAGCGTAATATGCTAACGATACCCTAAGGCCGCTCAACTGCTCACTATGATGTGCACTGACTACCAGGGGGCAGATGCTCTGACCGGCAGGTTAGCTTGCTCCTGGGGTGTGGCTGATCAGGACCAAACAAGACAGGCCGGACATGCCCTGGAGCCCTCCCATGGTCCCTCCCTGGCTGGCCAACCTCCCATGTCCCTCCCTGGCCCAATCTGTACCAGCGGGGTCCCTTGGCCTGGCCTGTGCACTTGCAATCCAAACCAGCTCTCTAACATCCCCCAAAGGGTCCCAGATTGCAAGAGGTCAGTTCTCAGGTGACGCACCCTGGAATCGGTCTCCTTCTCTCTGTTTCCAGGTGTGTCATTGGAGAACTACAGCTGCCAAGTCACTGCAGCTCATCAGCTTCTGCATTGAGCATCTTCCCCCTGGTGGTCAGTGCACATCATAGCTACCGGTCAGACGGCTGAAAGGTCAGATGGGTGTCCAGTTGACCGGTCGGCTGTTCAACCAATTAAAGCGTAATATGCTAACGATACCCTAAGGCCGCTCAACTGCTCACTATGATGTGCACTGACTACCAGGGGGCAGATGCTCTGACCGGCAGGTTAGCTTGCTCCTGGGGTGTGGCTGATCAGGACCAAACAAGACAGGCCGGACATGCCCTGGAGCCCTCCCATGGTCCCTCCCTGGCTGGCCAACCTCCCATGTCCCTCCCAGGCCCAATCTGTACCAGCGGGGTCCCTTGGCCTGGCCTGTGCACTCTTGCAATCCAGGACCCCTCGGGGGATGTTGGAGAGCCGGTTTCAGCCCAATCACGCAGGCCAGGACAAATTTGTGCACCAGGCCTCTAGTGTTGTCTATAAAAAACTTTGCCACTGTCTTGATTTGATTTTCATGTGATAGAATTTCCATAAAAGTTCTTCCATGGTTTTGGTGACCATGACCATTTTTAGTTTCATTTGTGATTTCTTAAAAACACATTTTGTTTAAATCTTGCCTACTTCTTTAAACACCTGACATTGACAGACCAGTTCTTAAGTTGTAGTTCATCAAAAGTTGCTGAGTTCTCTCCAAAAGCTATCCCTATGGTCTCTGAATTATTAATGTGTTTTCAAGTTTCTTTTATCAGTGGACAGAAGGAGTTGGGAGCCTTCTGCAGGTAAAAGATAGGGCCATGAACCAACTGACTGATGAATTTTGCAAAGACCAATTCGAGGGGGAAAAATGTGGGCCTTATCATTGTGTCACATAGTTAAAGACTAAAAACCCCAGCAAGGCTTGAACCCGTGATACTGTAAGAATAAATATATGTTCCATGAGGGCAGAGGCTCTATTTTGTGTACTGCCGTATCTATAGTATCCAGCACATAGGGCTCAGGAAATATTTTTGGAATGAAAAAAAAAAAGTAAAGATAGAGATTGGTTTGGTCTAAATTCTGAAGACTAGCTGTTTTTAGTAAAACTGAAAAACCTTCAGTGGGGTGAATAATTCTAAGGACACCATAACTTGATTTTATAAAGAGTTCCTTCATCTCAGAGTCTCCTACCTGTCTTGCAGAAAATCTTCCCTTTGCAAAGGTTAAACTTTTTAAATGTAGCTTGGGGTAAAGGTAGTTAGAGTCACAGTCCAGTTTGAAAGCATCTTTTTGAATAAACTTGGGAATGCTAACGGAGACCCCCGTCTGTGTGTGTGGCAGGAGTGCACATTCACGAAGATGCGCTCGAACAGCGCGCTCCGCGTCCTGTTCAGCGGCTCGCTCCGGCTCAAGTGCAGAAGCGCGTGCTGCCAGCGCTGGTATTTCACGTTCAACGGAGCTGAATGTTCAGGGCCTCTCCCCATTGAAGCCATCATTTACTTGGACCAAGGAAGCCCTGAACTGAACTCAACAATTAACATCCATCGCACCTCTTCTGGTATGTAGACTAGCGACGTCGCAGAGTGCGTCTCCGGTCTTTAGAGACAAAGATTCGTTTTGAGTCCACGGTCAGGTTGGGTAACTAGGACAGCACAGTGTTAGCCCATAATGCATTTCCCACCCATGGTGTGAAGCCTCATATGTTAATCAGTTGGGTGGGATGTCAGAAGTGATTTGTTATTTCTAAGTTTCTGCATTAAGATGAACTGATGATGGGAATGTGGACTGGTGCAGCCGCTGTGGAAAACAGTATGAAGTTTCCTCAAAAAATTAAAAGTGGAACTCCTGATTATGACCCAGTGATTCCACTTCTGGGAATATACCCAAAGAAACCTGCAGCACTGATTCGAAAGAATGCATGCACCCCTATGTTCATGGCAGTGTTATTTACAATAGCCCATCAGTAGATGAGTGGATAAAAAAGCTGTGGTACATTTACACAATGGAATATTATGCAGCTGTAAAAGAAGGAAATCTTACCCTTAGAAACAGCATGGATGGACCTGGAGAGCATTATACTAAGTGAAATAAGCCAGTCAGAGAAAGACAAGTACCATATGATATCACTTACATGTGGAATCTAATGGACAAAATAGGCTAACAAACAAAATAGAAACAGACCCATAGATAAGAGTACAGGCTGACAGCTGTCAGAAGGAAGGTTGGCTGGTGAAGGAATTGAACAAAAAAACCCCAAACAATTCATAGACACAGACACGTATGGTGA